ATTAATTATGTTATTGAATATTTATAATGCAATATTATTTTTATATTTTTTAACATTTACTTTTAATAACGTGAGAAAGAAAAATAAAATATTATTATTTCTCTTCAGAGATTTCTAGTTAAATTTCCAAAATAGATGATTTTATGTGATAAAAATGCGAAGAAGCAACTCCGCAGTAAAGACGTGAAGGCATCCTCTCACGCGGGAGGAAAACACACCCAAAGCCGAACCCCGTTTATTCCTCAATTGACGACCGGGACCCCCATCGTTGATCCTTGTTCCTACTCTTACATCTTGCAGGTGATTATCGTTCCAATCAATTTTGTGCCGACGTTCTTCCTGTAAAAAACCCACATTACTGCTTACTACAGCTAATTTTCTGCAGTACATTTCTGATCTGATCTTCCAACAATCGTTACTAGTCATTCAACTAGTTCATAGTGTACATGCTTCGTGTTATTAAGGCCCAAAATTACCTAATGTGTATTTAAATGAACATCTGATCAGGATATAGCGTTTGATGTTTCTTCTTCTTCTTCTTCTTCTTCTTCTTCAATACACTTCGAATTCCGCACCAATTTGCGAGACAGCATTTTCATTGTATGTTAGCTGAGGTAAATGTTCTACCGTTTTCCTCTTATCTCCAATCTCTCTCACACACACACTCACACACATATATACACATACTATTTTCTTTTTTTACACAATTAGAGTCTACTTTTCTTTGTTAAATGCTTAAATCTAGGATCTTTGCACTTGAGGACATTGGGTCGTTTTGGATTGCTATTATTTTTGTGTACATTTGTTTTTATGCAAACCGGAAGTGGTGGTGAAACGGAAGAAGGACTCTGACTATGAAGTGGATAACTTTATTTGACGCTTGAATTCTTTTTACTAGTGAAATAGATTTCCCATGGTCGATTGAGTTCTATGTTGAGTTGGATTTTGGTAGTTATTTGTTTTTCTGCCATTAGCTTGCTATGGGAGAGCTGGGCAGGTGTTGACACTTGGAAAGCCTTTGATTTTATTCTGGATAAGTTGCACGAGGTGGGTTTTGATTATTTTGATTATTTTGATTATGGCCCTTGATTCAAAACTTTGGCTGTTGGATGAGACGTGAGAAAATTGATGTCTGTGTCTTTCAGGAGGCTGCAAGGGGCATTCTCAAGTGTAATATTGGTTCAAATGTCAAAATATTCCTTCCTTGACGCACCAGGGAATTCTGCTCCAGTAAACAGGTTAGTGCTGTTTCGCCAGCTTGATCTGCTATGTCAGTAGGCTATCAAGATAACAATCTTACTGATCTGGAAACAGTAGCGCTCTATATGTATGATTATGGAAAAGCCATCTGTATCTCCTTAACATACATACAAGCACATCTTTGACATAAAAACATGGACTTGTAGTATCAATTGACCTTGATATTGACTAGCACCCTGCAAATCATTCAGCAGTAACTAGCTGATGTTGTTTTCCATACGTACAGGAGTCTCCCTTCATTTACTTTTGATTTTCTTCTTCAATACATTAGTACTAACATGTTCATTTTGGCAACCATATGCAAATTCTGACCGCTGCAATGACATAATAGGATATCGAATGAAAGCAATAATATGGATGATGCTGAAAGTACAATGTCCATGGTTGCTCAATTTATTGAGCAGCTTCATGGAAACATGTCCTCGCCACAAGAAAAAGAACTTACTACGGCACGATTACTTGGTATTTCTAAAGCACAAAAGGAAGCACGCTCTATCATAGGTTCACATCCTCAAGCAATGCCATTGTTCATATCCATTCTTAGAAATGGTAGCCTCTTGGCAAAAGTAAATGTTGCTGCAACATTAACTGCTCTGTGTAAAGATGAAGACTTGCGATTGAAGGTTCTTCTAGGTGGATGCATCCCACCATTACTCTCGCTTCTGAAAACAGAGTCAATTGAGGCCAAGAAGGCAGCAGCTGAAGTCATCTATGAAGTTTCTTCTGGTGGACTATCGGATGACCATGTGGGTATGAAGATATTTGTTACAGAAGGTGTAGTTCCGACTTTATGGGAACAGCTAAATTCCAAGAACAGACAGGACAAAGTGGTTGTAGGCTTTGTCACTGGGGCTCTCAGAAATCTTTGTGGCGACAAAGATGGATACTGGAGAGCTACTCTTGAGGCCGGTGGAGTAGACATTATTGTTAGGCTGCTTTCTTCTGACAATGCGGCTGTTCAGTCAAATGCTGCTTCTCTTTTGGCTCGTTTGATGCTGGCTTTCGACAATAGCATGCCAAAAATTATGGATTCTGGAGCAATTGAGGCTTTACTTGGACTCTTGAGTAAAAAAAATGATATCCCTGTCAGATGTAGTGCTGCTGATGCTCTGGAGGCTCTCTCTTCAAGGTCAACCAAGGGTAAGGAAGCTATTGTTGATTCAAATGGTGTTACAATTCTCATTGGTGCTGTAGTTGCTCCATCAAAAGAGTGTATGCAGGGAGAGGGAGGCCAATTTCTCCAGGGACATGCTACGCGTGCATTGGCAAACATACGGGGGGGAATGTCTGCTCTTATTCTACACCTAGGAGAGCTTGCTCAGTCGCCAAGCTTGTTTGCTCCTGTTGCTGATATAATTGGAGCACTTGCTTACACACTGATGATCTTTGAACAGAATGTAAATCCAGAAGATGAACCATTTGATGCAATAAAAATAGAAAATATTTTAGTGGCACTTTTGAAACCTCGAGACGATAATTTGGTTCAGGATCGTATTCTCGAGGCAATGGCTAGCCTGTATGGCAATGATTGCCTCTCCAGAAGACTTGACCAATCAGAAGCCAAGAAGGTGCTTATTGGGCTTATCACTATGGCATCATCTGATATGCAAGAGTATCTGATATACTCTATGATAAGCTTATGCTGTGAAGGAGTGGACATCTGGGAAGCCATTGGAAAGAGAGAAGGAATCCAATTACTTATCTCTTTTCTGGGTTTATCCAGTGAAGAACATCAGGAGTATGCTGTTTGGTTGCTTGCAGTCCTGACCGACCAAATAGATGACAGCAAGTGGGCAATTACTGCTGCTGGTGGTATTCCGCCGCTTGTACAATTATTAGAAATGGGATCCCAGAAAGCAAAGGAAGATGCAGCTTATGTTCTTTGGAACTTGTGCTGTCATAGTGAAGATATTTGTGCCTGTGTCAAAAGTGCAGAAGCTGTTCCTGCTTTCTTGTGGTTCTTAAGGAATGGTGGATCAAAGGGACAAGAAGCCTCCTCTAAGGCACTCAAAAAGCTTATCCGAAAGGCTGATGCTGCCTCTATTAATCAGCTACTAGCCCTGCTTTTGGGAGACTCTCCAAAATCAAAGGCCCACATAATTGAAGTACTGGGTCATGTGCTTACTATGGCATCCCACAGTGATCTTGTGCAAAAGGGATCGGAAGCTTATAAAGGGTTGAGATCTCTTATCCAGGTTCTTAATTCTTCAAGTCAGGAAGCTCAACAGCATGCAGCTTCGGTCCTGGCTGACCTCTTTAGCAATCGTCAAGACATATGTGATAGTCTTGCAACTGATGAAGTGGTGCATCCTTGCATGAAGCTCTTGACAAGCAACACCCAGATTATTGCCACACAGTCAGCTCGGGCATTGGGTGCTTTGTCTCGCCCAACTAACACCAACTCCAAGAATAAAATGCCTTATATTGCAGAGGGGGATGTAAAGCCTCTGATCAAGTTGGCCAAAACATCTTCCATTGATGCTGCAGAGACTGCTGTGTCTGCGTTGGCCAATCTTTTGTCTGATTCACAGATTGCTGCAGAGGCATTGACAGAAGACGTGGTATCTGCTTTGACAAGAGTGTTGGGAGAAGGAAGTTCGAAAGGCAAGAAAGGTGCATCTCGTGCGCTTCTTCACTTACTCAAACATTTCCCACTAAGTGATGTTCTCACTAGCAGTAGTCAATGTCGATCTGCGATTCTTGCTATTGTTGAGTCCTTGAATGGAGTGGATATGGATGGGACTGATGCAGCTGAAGCTTTAGAAGTAGTTTCTTTATTGGCTAGGACAAAGCAAACGTTGAATGCAACATACTCCCCATGGTCTACTCTTGCTGAAGTTATCTCAAGCTTGCAGCCTCTTGTGTATTATTTAGCTGAGGGATCTCCTATGGTGCAAGATAAGGCCATTGAAATTCTAGCCAGGCTTTGTGGAGACCAACCAGTTGTCTTAGGTGACTTGTTGGCTGCAAATATAAGAACAATCGGCGCATTGGGTAACAGGATACTGAAATCTACCAGTCTAGAAGTGAGAGTTGGGGCAACTGCATTGCTCGTCTGTGCTTCAAAGGAGAATAGAAAGCAAACCATAGCATCACTTGATACATCAGGGTACTTAAAACCTGTTATATATGGATTGGTAGATATTATAAAACAAAATTCTGGTTGTTACTCTCTTGAAGCCGACGTCCGAACTTCAAGGGATTTTGCCAACAGAACAGCTTTTCACGAAGGGGGTGAGTTTAATGTGCCTGATCCAGGCTCTCTCTTGGGAAGTACAGCTGCCATGTGGTTGTTGTCAATTCTTTCTTCAGTCGGTGAGAAGAACAAGCATTCTGTAGTAGAAGCTGGGGGACTTGAGGTCCTCTCAAAGAAGCTTTCAAGATATACATCAAATTCACAGGTAGAGCCAGATGTTCTCATTGCTTTAAAAGCCTTAAGCAGAGTTTGGCAGTTGAGTGACCTAACGCCTAATCATCTATACAGGGATTAAGTGACTGGTTACGCTTAAGCATAAGCATTTATTTGAATATATGAAATATAATTGCTTCTAGATTGTGTAATGAAATGAAAATGTTGATGCTTTTTTTTTGATATAATTATTTCTCTGTAAAATACTAGTTTTGTTATGCCACTAATGATATTACTCAAAAATTGAATGATGCCCTTCAACTTGAGAAAAGTTGTTTGATGAAATGAGTTGAGAAAAGTTGATTAACCCCTGCTTAAATTTTTTGAATTGCTTAATCCAATAATTAGTTGCTAATCAAAAGTAAGACAATTAATGTGGACAGCTAAATCGGCAGCCCTAACTAATCCAAGTGGCCACTTAAGTGGTACTGAATGGATATCTTAATACTGCCTATTATTCACTCTCAGAGTTCTCAATTTCCTCGACTACCTTGGTAACAGGAGTACGAGTTTAACAGAATATACTTTACTATGCTTTAGAATTAGGCAGTTTTGGAGAAGATAGAGGGTGAGACAGGGAGAGGGTTAGCGCCGTGGGAGTTAGATTACCAGAGCTTTTCGTTGGATAAAGGGCCATCTTCATTTTTCCTACCTTTTGAACTGTTTGTTGTTCGCTAGTCTTACCTTTTCTTCTTGTACTAGTAGTTGTCCCCTCTGCATTTTTTGTTTAGTTTACTAGTTGCTTGTTTTGGACATGCTTTATTCTCTTGTTCCTTATAATTTTTCTTTTGCAAGTGGGTATCTTCATGGAAACCTCTTTACCCTTTGGGGAAGAGGAAAGGTTTGCATACATCCTACCCTCACCTCACATTTGTGTGGGAATTACTAGGTTCGTTTGGTTTGGTTCGACTTTATATAAGCTCTAAAATTCCGTATTGTGCTGATGTAAATGTCATTGCTCACCATTCTTTAATTTACTGTAATCATTCCTCAGAAGTTAATCAGGTTATTTCTTTTGATAGGGTGGGTTTTGTGTACATTTTGAAGCAAAAGGCAGAACCAAGGTTGCATAAGAAACTTGTCTTCCATCTATACTACTCACCTATTTTAATATGTACCCTCTGCCCTCTGGTGTCCTTGTTAAATGTCTTAAAAAAAGTAGACATAATTAAGCCTTACTCTTTGTCTCAGATAGAAGAAATGCAAGAAGGCAAAAATTAGGCTTTTCTCTGCAGCTTAGCACCAAGCTATTTGTTCTATGAGATTGATAACATATCCGTATCCTACTAATGTAGTTATCCAGACCACATATTTTGCATGCTTTTGAAAAAGTGCCAATGCATAATCAAAAATAGAATGAGGTAATGACCGTTCGGTAATCGTTGTAGTAAGAAAAGATGGAGGAAACTGAAATTTTGATAGCCTTTTCAAGGATGGATCCCAATTATTGAGATCATAGTGAATATTGTTTGATAATAATGGAGGAATCTTTACATGCTTCTTTTAACGAGTTACCTTCTCTTTTTGCCAGGCAGAGTTTGAGGATGCAGAGGGCATATGGATAAGTGCTTTACTAGTGGCTATACTGTTTCAAGATGAAAATGTGGCTTTGTCAACACTAACCATGCATATCATTCCATCCTTAGCAAATTTGCTGAAGTCTGAAGAAATTTTTGACAAGTTCTTCTGTGCCCAGGCTATGGCTAGCCTTGTATGTAAAGGAAATAAAGAAGTAAATCTTGCAGTTGCAAATTCTGGTGCAGTTGCTGGTTTAACAACACTGATTGGTTACGTAGAAGCAGATATGCCCAACCTTGTTGCTATATCTGACGAATTCTCATTGGTGCGTAATCCTGATCAGATTGTTTTGAAGCATCTCTTTGCAATTGAAGAAGTAAGAAATGGATCAACAGCTTGCAAAACTATTCCACTATTGGTGGATCTTTTGAGACCAATGCCAGACAGGCCAGGTGCTCCTCCTTTTGCTATTTGCCTTTTGACTTCCATTGCAGACGGAAGTGATGCGAACAAGCTTCTTATGGCTGAAGCTGGAGCCTTGGACAGTTTGACAAAGTATTTATCTTTAAGCCCTCAAGACTTAACTGAGGCCACTATTTGTGAACTCATGAGAGTATTGTATAGCAATCCTGCTCTTCTGCGATACAAATCAGCAGTTAATTCCTTAAGTCAACTTATAGCTGTTCTCCGTTTGGGATCAAAAGTTTCTAGATTGAGTGCTGCTAGAGCTCTCCATCAGTTGTTTGATGCTGAGGACATAAGGGAATCTGAATCAGCTGTGCATGCACTTCAGCCCTTGATTGATATGCTAAATGCAGCATCTGAGGGTGAGCAAGAAGCTGCTCTTCTTGTGTTGATCAAGTTGACTTCAACAGACACTGCAAAAGCTGCTAAAGTTCTTGATGTGAAAGGAAATCCCCTTGAGAGTTCATTTAGAATTTTATCCTCCAGTTCTTTAGTATTGAAGAGCCATGCCGCACAGTTCTGCTCCGTGCTTTTTGGTAATTCCAGAGTCCGAGCACTGCCAATTGCTTCTAGGTGCATTGAACCTCTTGTACTGCTGATGCAATCTGAAGCTCCTTCAGCAGTGGAGTCTGGTCTTTGTGCTTTTGAAAAACTGTTGGATGATGAACAAGCAGCGAGCCTTGCAGCAGATTATGATGTTATAGATCTTCTTGTTGGTTTGATTTGCGGATCAAATCATGTGCTTATTGAGGCCAGTATTGCCACACTTATTAAGCTTGGCAAAGACCGGACTCCCCGCAAGTTAGATATGGTTAATGCTGGTGTCATTGATAATTGTCTTGCACTGCTCCCAAGTGCCCCAAGTGCCTTGTGCTCCTCAATTTCTGAACTCTTCAGGATTTTGACAAACAGTAGTGCAATTTCTAAAAGCGCAACTGCTGCTAAACTTGTAGAACCTCTTTTCATGGTTTTACTTCGTCCTGATTTTTGTCTCTGGGGACAACACAGTGCCCTACAAACACTTGTTAATGTATTGGAGAAACCACAAACCCTTGCAACTCAAAAACTTACTCCCACCCAAGTAATTGAGCCATTAATTTCATTTCTTGAATCACCATCTCAGGCTATTCAACAACTTGGTACTGAGTTGCTGACTCATTTGCTTGCCCAGGAGCACTTCCAGCAAGATATAACTACACAAAGTGCAGTTGTGCCCCTTGTGCAGCTTGCTGGGATTGGAATATTGAATTTACAGCAAACAGCGATGAAGGCATTGGAAAGTATCTCACTAAGCTGGCCAAATGCAGTTGCTGATGCTGGTGGCATTTATGAGCTTGCAAAAGTTATTATTCAGGATGATCCCCAACCATCCCATGCATTGTGGGAATCAGCTGCATCGGTTCTTTCAAATGTTCTACGGTTTGATGCTGACTACTACTTCAGAGTTCCTCTGGTTGTGCTTGTGAAGATGTTGAACTCAAATGTAGAGTCCACCGTCGCCGTTGCTCTTGATGCACTGATTTTTCAGGAAAAGAGTGACGCATCAGGCGCAAAACAGATGAGTGAAGCTGGTGCCATAGATGCTTTGCTTGACCTACTAAGATCTCACCAATGTGAGGAAGCATCAGGAAGACTACTTGAAGCCTTGTTTAATAATGTGAGGGTACGAGAGATGAAGCTTTGCAAGTATGCAATAGCACCTCTAGCGCAGTATCTGCTAGATCCACAAACTAGATCTCTGCCCGGTAAGCTTCTTGCTGCTCTTGCTCTTGGTGACCTCTCACAGCATGAGGGACTAGCCAGAGCCAAAGATTCTGCTTCTGCATGTCGTGCATTGGTAAGCTTGCTTGAAGATCAATCCACAGATGAAATGAAGATGGTGACGATTTGTGCATTACAGAACTTTGTCATGCACAGTAGAACCAACAGACGAGCTGTTGCAGAAACTGGTGGCATATTAGTTATTCAAGAATTGTTACTTTCTCCTAATTTGGAGGTTGCTGGACAGGCATCGCTACTCATCAAAATTTTATTTTCAAACCACACTCTTCTAGAGTATGTATCAAACGAGCTTATCCGGTCTTTAACAGGTGATAACAGGCTAGTTTCAGTTTACTTTGTTTTGTCAACACTGATTCTTACCATACATGCATGTTCTTATCTTTTCTGTTTTAACTTTTAACCAAAGGCTATGCATATTCTCACTGCTTCATGTGGAAGCATGCTTTTAATTTGTATATCTGGTCGTCTATCTCCTGGATGCACTTAGGAACTCTATGGCCCATGAACGGCTTATCACAATCTTCCCCACTTATGTTCTTGACAACATCAGCAGGCCCAGTATCCATGTCTATCCCTAGTCTGCAAGCTAGTCCTCGACCAGGGATGGCCCTGTAGGGTGAAATCACTCTAGAACTAGCTTTTAGAACTCATATTTAATCGGCCACCCCATAGAAACATACTGGCCTACTAAATAACTAAGGTCTAACGACCAGCTGGAAGATGTAATAGCCCATTACAGAGTACTGAATGAGCCAAAACAAACAAATTTGCACATTTTAAAATTGAAGTCCACAAACCATGATAGAAGGTTATATGGTAGTCCCCACTAGGTTCTCAGTCAAGATTAGTTCTAACCAACCCAAGGAAAGATTTAAATCAGACATTCTTATCTGGCACTAGTTGATCTCTCTCTCCCCTCTATTGTCTGGACAACATGATGAGTTTTATGAGAATGTCCGTTTGTTTGATGGATTTATGAGAATGTCTGTTTGTTTGATGGACTCTTCTCTTGATGAATTGTAGACATCCTACATTTGCTAAATTTACAGTCAACTAAATATTTCTCTTGTAAAGAAACTAAAACCAATATAACAGTAAGAACAACAGCAGGATCCATCTAATCATTGGACAACCTTGCCACAACAAGATGGTTTCCCCATGTTCACTTGGATGATGTTCTATTATTTCCTACACCTGATAAGACCAAATGTCATCTAGGACTAAATGATGGAAGAAAGAAAATTTGGAAAGAAGCCAAAAACAAATAAGGCTGTAAGCATCAGGCCTAAAAACCTAGGATCTCTCGAGCATTTAGCTGAAGGTGGACAAAGGTATCAAACCATATTGCACCACACAGTCAACTAATATACGGATAACACCCTCACATTTATTTATGGAGTTCATCATAAGATACAACACTTCAATATAGAATGTTTGCCCTAATCATACTCGCCTTTACTGAACATTAGAAATACATAAGCGGAACAAACAAACAGTTACTAGATACGATCTCTAATTACAACATTTTCTATTCAATAGTGCATAAGGTAATTTCCAAATAACAAGTGAAGGAAGTTCTTTGATGCCCTATATTTTGTTAGAATATATTGTAAATATTATGTCTGTTTAGGGTTTCTGWTGGGCCGTACGGGCCTTTGCTTATTTGGGTTTGGGTTTCTTATTTGTGTCTATATATATACACGCCTCTCCTTTGTAATTATTCATTCAGTAAATAAGAATACTTCTTCTCTCTGTCCCTCTGATCACATGGTATCAGAGCCACTCTGAAAACCTCCTGCYGTCGTCACCGGAACCCTAGCCGACTTCGCCGGACTCCTGCCACCGTCGCCTGAACCCTAGACGCCGCCATATCTGCCGCTGCCGCCTCTGCTCGCCGGAATCTGCCGCTGCCGCCTCTGCTCGCCGGAATCTGCCGTTGCCGCTGCACCGCCGCCGCTGCCACCGCTGACTCAGACGACCGACCCGGTGTTTTCCAGTCGCTGTCCGCCGCCCCACGTGCCGCCAGCCGCCGCCAGCATCATCCCAACTTCTGTTTCTTGCTTCTTGAAGGTCGCCATCTTCATCCGC